TAAGACTTGTGGACTTCAACTCCCAGAATTCTCCAGCCAGCATAGCATAGCTGGCTGGAGAATTCTGGGAGTTGAAGTCCACAAGTCTTAAAGTTGCCAAGGTTGGAGACCTCTGCTTGTAAACCTTTAACCAGCAGGCTAGCATGGTCGGGGTTTGTTATTGTTGTTAGCCGCGACCCCATGGACAACGTTCCTCCAGGCCTTCCTGTCCTCTACTATCCTCCGGAGTCCATTTAATCTCATGCCTACTACTTCAGTGACTCCACCCGTCCACCTCCTTTTCTGCCGTTCCCTTCTTCTTCAGTTGACCTCAATCTTTCTCAGCTCTTCTCGAGTGAGTCCTCCCTTCTCATGAGGTGGCCAAAGTCTTTGAGTTTCATCTTCAAGATCTGGCCTTCTGAAGAGCAGTCAGGGTTGATCTCCTGTAGGACTGACCGGTTGGATCACCTTGCAGTCCAAGGGACTCGCAGGAGTCTTCTCCAGCACCAGAGTTTGAAGGCCATACATTGCAACTGGGGAAACCATAGCCTTGACTACACACCCTTTCGTTGGCAGGGTGATGATGGTCTCTGCTTTTTAGTGTGCTTTCTAGATTTGCCATAGCTTTCCATAGCAAGCGTCTTGTAATTTCTTGGCTGCCATCCCCATCTGCGGTGATTTGGTTAGGTTTACACAGCAAGATAAATCCAGAGCCGCTGTTTAAGCGCACAGAGTGGCCTTTCACAACGTTGGCCACTTCAAGATGAGTAGACTACAAGTCTCACAATTCCCCAGAGAACGTGAAGAATGAGTAAAGAAAACCCCCCAGATTCCTCTAAAAATACTTTGGGGCGATCTTCTTGCAACCATCCTCAGGATGATTCCACTTGCTCACCCAATCTTTGTTGGGAGTGCCTGCACGAGGGGAACGTAGAGATACCGGATCCCCTTGGAAGGCAAAACCAATTCCTAAAAGACTGAATGGGGAGTGGGGGCAGGGAATGGCAAGAAGGATAGCTCCGTCTGAAAGGATCCGTGTTGGGCAAAGAATTAGTCCTTTCATTGTGCTTGCAAATCTTGCACCACCAAAGAAAGAGGGACCTCTTTAAGGCTTCGATTCCCCCACCGCCCCGCCCGCCTTTCTTGCTTTTCTCAGAAGAGACTCAACACAGCCCAGCCTTAGAAATGCGTTTCAACCGCCCAGCCTGATAGCGAGCCAGCTGGCAAGGAAACACTGCGCTTCTTTAATCCTTAAAGCGCTCCCAGCATCATCCCAGTTTATCGCTCCAGCAGAAGCTCTGCAGGTGGACCTAGAAAAAATAGGCATAACTGTGTGGGTCCCCGGGCCCCCATCTTAGTAGTATTTGCCACGATCTCCTCTGGGGAGAAGGGGAAGACAGGCTAGGAAATCCCCTCCAGCTAAGCGAGTTTTGGCGTTCCTGCCCTGCCTTCCTCCCCCCTTCCCAGATGTGTTTGCCTCTGACAAGTACTTAACCTCTTTAGCAGCTGTTTTCATGGGAAGATGAGATCAGAGGGGATTTTCAAGGTGCTGTGCAGGACACACACACACACACACACACACACACACACACACACACACACACATCCCAAGCCTCATCTAATCCATATACTACTAAAACTCTGTTGTCCGCTGTAACCATTAACTGGCCGAAAGAGTGCATCCATTAGAGGGCAAAACTTTTTGAACCGAACCGCAAGCGGACTAACTTACAGGATGGATCCAAAATCAGTGGACCTATGACTTCTGTGGAATTGACATTGGGGAAATTTTATAAAGCGTTTGATGACGTAAAATGATCGTGAAGCATTTGATGACATAATACAAAGGGTCGTAAGGCATCTCCCGTAGTCGACTTCTGATGATTGTGTTATATGAGCTCGCATGGGCTATTTTCAAGGCAGATGTATCTAGAACGTAAGACTAATAGGAGTTGAAAGGGATCTTGGAGGTCTTCTAGTCTAACCCCCTTATCGAGCAGGAGATCCTATGCCGTCTCCAATGGTTGTCTAGTCCCTTTTTGAAAGCCTCAAGTGATGGAGCACCCACAATTTCTGAGGGCAAACTATTCCACTGGTTGATTGCTATCACTGTTAGGGATTTCCTGCTTAGTTCTAGGTTGCTTCTCTTCTTGGTTCGCTTCCTTCCATTGTTTCTTATCTTGCCTTTTGGTGCTTTGGAAAAATCTCTGTCTTCCTGAATTTCTAAGAACTCTTCAAGTATATTACAAGCTCTGCCATTGTTGTAGGAAATGAGGAACCTGGTAAGGAAATCTCTCTGAAACAACAACCCACGAGATCATGGGTTGTTAGTCCAATATAAAAAGTGGGCTCCTTCACTATTCATTTTAGAATAGAATAACAGAGTTGGAAGGGACCTTGGAGGTCTTCTAGTCCAACCCCCTGCCTAGGCAGGAAACCCTACCCCACTTCAGACAAATGGGTATCCAATCTCTTTTTAAAAACTTCCAGTGTTGGAGCATTCACAACTTCTGGAGGCAATTAATCAGTTCCACCGATTAATTGTGTTAACTTTCAGGAAATTTCTCCTTAGTTCTAAGTTGCTTCTCTCCTTGATTAGTTTCCACCCATTGCTTCTTGTCCTGCCCTCCGGTGCTTTGGAGAATAGCTTGGCTCCCTCTTCTTTGGGGCAGCCCCTGAGATATTGGAAGGCTGCTACCATGTCTCCCCTAGTCCTTCTTTTCATCAAACTGGACATACCCAGTTCCAGCAACCGTTCTTTATATGTTTTAGCCTCCAGCCTCCTAATCATCTCTGTTGCTCTTCTCTGTACTCTTTCTAGAGTCTCAACATCTTTTTTACATCGTGGCGACCAAAACTGAATGCAGTATTCCAAGGGTGGCCTTACCAAAGCATGATAAAGTGGTATTAATACTTCACATGATCTTGATTCTATCCCTCTGTTTATGCAGCCTAGAATTGTGTTGGCTTTTTTTACAGAAGCCCCTTAAAATCTGGTTGTGCCATTAGACCTGCTGATCCCACGGGATCGATGATCTATTGAGGTGGGCTCCATTGCTATTAACATCTGGTGTTTCTCTCTCAGCCTTTTTGTTTTCTAAAACAAGTTTTAATAATCATAGTTGTTTTATATATATTGGTTTTTAGTCTTGGACACCGCCCAGTCACTTGCCCGTATACATTTGATGAGTAAAGAACTAAAACATCCTTTGTGCACGCACAAGCCTTTTTACTGACATGCTTAATCTCAGTGCAAGAAATTTGCTTTCTAAATAATCACTATATTTTCAGGAGTAGGATTTGCATTATTATTCCAGGAGTTGAGAAGATTGGTCCAAAAAAAATTGCTCAGCTGGCTTCAAGGCCTAAGGTGGGAGTAGAACGAACTCACCTGGCTTCTCTCCCAGTGCCTTTTTCTGGGAAGCTGACCTTCATAGACTAGATTACAAAATCTACGTACATTGCACGCGTAGTTGCAGAGTCTCTTCCATGACGTTGCCGGAAAAAAAACCCCCACATGGTCTCATCCCTGGAGCTATTGGGAATCAAGACCATCTCAAAGGTGTTCCAGTTGCCAACTGGAAAAGAGAAAAATTTTGGTGGTCCTCAGAGAAATGCCCCCCCCCCAGCAATTAATCCAGGCTGCGTGGGAACACAAGGATGCGCTACCCACTGGCCCCCCACCCTTCACCCGAGCACTGAGGAGGGTGTAAGATGACTCCGTTCAGAAGACGGGCAAAGGAGCAGTTGGGGTTGGGATGAATGTGGTCACCTGTTGGGCCCTCTTGGAATTAAACAGCCAGACTTCACACCAGGAGGAGGAACCCTTTGTGCAGCTGGCGCCGACACCTGACAAAATTGTTTTAACTATTGCATTTTTATACTTTGGTAGTCTGTAAATTATAGAGTTTTATCTTTTTAATATTGTAAGCTGCCCAGAGTTATCCTGCTCTAAGATGGGATGGCCAATGAACTGAATGATGGATGTATGGGTGTATGGCTGAATGGAGGGAGGGAGGGAGGGAGGGAAGGAAGGAAGGAAGGAAGGAAGGAAGGAGCCAAAGCAAAAAATGGGGGCTATCTGGAAGGGACAAAGCCACTCCTTCTCTTACCATCCTAATTTCTCCCTTCCTGCCCAGTGAATTGGCAGAAGCAGGACCAGGTTGCATGTTCCTGTCATGCCTGTGTTGGAATCTGATCTCGAGGTGGGGGTTGAGCGGCTGACAGGTAGTGGGAGTATGGCTCCAGTCGTTGTGGAAGCAACTGGGGAAGGGTAAAGTCTGGCTGGACATTCAGAGAAAGACCCAGGCCCACCCCCTCTTCATCCTAGGGCATGCAGAGAGGAACGGAGAAGAGAGCAATGGGAGTTGCATGGTTTACGGGGGAGGAAAAGGCCCTGATCCCCTTCACTGGCTGCAGCTGAGAAAACAGGATTTAAAAAGGACATTTATGCACAGCACCTTGATGGAAACAAAGCGTCAATTATATTTGTTTGTCGAGGTTTATCTGGGTTTTGGCATCCTCCCAACTGTATGTGGTTTGTTATCTTTTGAAGTCTGCAATTCCTTATCCTGCCCTGTCTCGTTAATTGCTGCAGCACAGTTTGTGTTGATTTTTATTTCTAATTTATCTGTACTTTGGGTTCAGACTGCATTTCTTCCCTTTGTAGACTGTTTTTGGAACAGTTTGATCTCCAGCCGAGGATATCTGGACATTGGGGGTCAAGTTGGAGGCATTAAAGGGACTTTACCTATTTTTGTGACTTCGGTGCTTTTGTGCCACGCCCCAAGTCATCACAGTTCCCAAGTGATGCAAATTTCAACCCACAGTCACTGACAAACCCAGCGGTCAGTTTTCCCACTGGCTGGACGTGCTTTGCTTCCTCCTAACCATGACTTCCTGAACGAATAAACCAGATTTGTTTCGACTGATGAGATATACATCAAAAGCAAAGCATTGCGTTTTAGGAGTGCCCCCGGGCTCCACCCATGCAGGTGGGTTAACCCAACTCAAGGTGAGAAGAAAGAGCTTTTATTTATTTATTTTCCTCCAAAAAAAGTCATTTATTGAACTTGTCTTTAAACGTTATTCAAAAACGAAAGAGTTAAAGAGTCTAGATAAAAACAAAAGAGAAAAAAAAACAACGATGTGGTGTGAACACAATCTCCCCTCCGACTAAAAAGGAACTGTCTGATCCGTAAACATGCTCCACCACACGGGGTGCCCCTCCCACCCCGCGCCCCGGATGGCGAAGGGGGCCTTTGCAATCTTCCCACGCGCCCCCCCCCCCCGCTCCTGCCACCCACAGTACAAGGGGGAGGGTTGGCATCTCTCCCTATGGCTACCGTGATTCTACGGCCTGCTCTTCCTTCCCTGCCGGGCAGGGGACCCCTCCCCACGGCCCACTCTCAAAGGCTTGGGAAGTGGGGCTCTTGAGTTCCGAAGCCGGAGGAAAGCTGAGATTTGCGTGTTTCTGCTTGCACAAGTGCCAAAAAGTTGACTTGCACGGAAAGGAAGGGTACTGTTGTTTTTGGAAGTGCAGGGGGAACTAACTGGCTGGGCTAGGGTTCATCCCGCCCCCTCTTGGCGTGGCCACGTTGGGTCGGCAAAGAGCTCTTGGAGGAGGAGGAGGAAGAGGAAGGCCGAATGGAGAAAAGTAAAAAGCCGCCGCCCTTGGGTTAGCCCGGAGAGGCGCCGTTGAGCCAGGGTGGCCGGAGCCCTGTTAGGACATGTTGTGGGTGACCAGGCCTTGCAGCATGATCATCAGGCGACGTGCGGGCTTGCTCACGTTGTTGTGAGGCTCCACCTGCAGGAACTGGAAGAGTTTCTGGCGCACCTGGTTCATCACCGAGCCCATGTGGTCGCGGGTGATGGGATCGCTGTGGTCGAGGTGCATCACTGCCTCCTCCAGGTAGCTGCGGGGGGCGGGGAGAGAGAGAAAGAAAACAGCTCAGAATAAGCAAGTCATTTCTTCCGGCTACAATATGGTCAAGGAAGGCCTGGGATGGTATGTGGTGAGGAGGGAGGGTGGAGAACTGTAGAGTAAGAGGCAACTCAACCCGGATATTATGTGGGAGAGAAAGCGGGTGAAGACAGCCCCTCTCAAATACAGGCAGTCCTCAACTTACACAACGGTTTGTTTAGTGTTCAATGTTACAATGGCACTGAAAACAGGGACTCGTGACCCATTTTTCATACTTGTTGTGGGCCTATCGGCAGCCTACGGAACTGGCAGCAAAGTCGGACATGAGGAGGAACATGGGCCAGTCTGGCAATCTGGGAAGACTCGGACGAGGGTCCTGCATCCAATAGAGAGATGGGGCCAGGGCCATCTGGGAGTGAGGTGCTGACTCCGGAGCCTCCAGAATCTGACAGCAGCGAGGCAGAGGAACAAGGGGAGCCTGTTCCAGTGTGCGCATGCGCAGAGCTGCCAGAAGGCAAGAACGGTTAAGACAAAAGGGACGACTCAGGAGTAAGGCTTGGAGGCCATTGGCATCTCCCATAAGACATAAAGGAGGAACAAAGGGACAGGACAGCTTCACACAAGGAAAGCAGCAAAAGTCTTTCTTTCTCTCCCCCAAACTCTGCCAGAAATGAGTCTTTGGGACCCTGAAAGGCATCCTGCTCCAAGAGGTTGCATTGGCGTGACAAGTCTCACAAAGACTCATCTCTGGTGGAGTTTGGGGGAGAGAAAGAAAAACTTCTGCTGCTTCTGCTGCTTTCCTTGCATGAAGCCAAAAGTCTCTCTCTCTCTCTCCCCCTCCCTTGAGAACGGAGTTGGAGATAGTATCCTGCGATCCCAAATAAAGAATGATCGATCAGTAGGAAAATGGGGTGGGGAATTTTCCTGCAGACTTTTGGGGGGATTTTCCCAGGGTCTCTGCTGCTTTCTGCAGAGACCCTGGGAAAACATCAGCAAGCCACCGTCAGTCAAAATTCATATTAGTGGTCCGTGAGATTTAAAATTATGAGTTTGGTGGTCCCTGAAGCCCAGAAGGTTGGCATGATCTACAGTATCCTTTTGAGAGCGAGACAGGGTTTACCTTCTTGGACATACCACTAATTTTTACTCACTTGAGTTTGAGCTCTGTCTGGGAGCCTAAATCTGAAGACAGCTGCTGAATGAGAGACAGGAGGACAGGCTGGGACAGAGGACAAGGGTCCTGTCCAAACACTTGCTGAGGATCAACGGTCTCACAGACATAGAGGACCAGATTCAAATCGGCTGCAGTGAGAGCCTGCAAGGGTGAAAAGAGGCATACAGGAAATCCAGAGGAACGCTGGGACATTCCGATATGAAACAGGGAAAAGCACTGGGGCGATCATTTCCCAGAACTGCAATCCACCCACGCTCCGTGATTTGAAGCACATTTTGGCTCTCAAGCGCTGATGGCATTCCTATCCCATGACCATTATGGAATTCTTAAAATACCCAGACGTTGCGCAGATGTTCCAACCGTGAGGAGGCAAAAGAATGCTAAAGAGTTATTAAACTGTTCTGATTGAGCCGCGGTGGCGCAGTGGTTAGAGGGCAGTACTGCAGGCTACTTCTGCTGACTGCCGGCTGCCTGCAATTTGGCAGTTTGAATTTCACCAGGCTCCAGGTTGACTCAGCCTTCCATCCTTCCGAGACAGGTAAAATGAGGAGCCAGGTTGTTGGGGGCAAGAGGCTGACTCTGTAAAACCACTCAGAGAGGGCTGTAAAAGCGGTATATAACTCTTAAGTGTTATTGCTATTGATCCCAAATGCAAAAGGAGTCTGTCACCTCAAAGTAGCACCTTCCAGAGGTCCTCCTTTTGGCTGTTGAGAGGGCAGGGTTGGAGAAAGGATGGCACATGGATACACCTGATGCCAGTATGCCCAGGCTTATACAATGAATTACACATTATTCTGTATATGTATATAATGTGTAGAAGGGAGGCGGTGGCTCCGTGGCTAAGATGCTGAGCTTGTCGATCGGAAAGGTCGTCAGTTTGGCAGTTTGAATCCCTAGCGCCACGTAATGGAGTGAGCTCCCACTACTTGTCTCAGCTTCGGCCAACCTAGCAGTTCGAAGGCATGTAAAAATGCAGGTAGAAAAATAGGGACCCCTTTGGTGGGAAGAGAACAGTGTTTCGTGCACCTTCGGCGTTTAGTCATGCCAGCCACATAACCACGGAGACGTCTTCGGACAGCGCTGGCTCTTTGGCTTTGAAACAGAGATGAGCACTGCCCCCTAGAGCCAGAAACGACTAGCACAGTTGTGCAATGGGAACTTTTACTTTTACCTTATATAATGTGTGTGTACATGCGCACACACACACAAGCTCAACAGCATGCAAACATCTGCAAACTTAAAAGCTGGAACAGGCAACATATAATCTTCCAGATGTTGCTAAGCAACCACTCCTAACTCCAACAGTGAGGGATGCTGGGAGCTGTAGTTCAGCAGCCCAGAACTTCCATATTCCTGCCTTTGAGAGAGACACCTCAAAGGACACCAGGAGATGCAGCTCAGTATCTTAGTTTTGAAAAAATAAACCCTCCGTGGGTTTGTCAATCTTAAGCCCTGCAGCTGGTGCCCGGGAGGCTCGGTAGGAAGACGTTTCTGTGGGTAGCTGGAGAGTCTACCTGGCTTTCAGAAGGTTGCATACCTGTTGGAAGGCTTGGTTCAGGTGTCCCTGCTGCAAAAGTTGCAGCATGTGAGCCTGCTGGGACTGGAAGTCTAGGTGAGTGGCAGGGATGGGCGTGCCTGCAGCGGAGCGCATGGCCTGCATGATGCTGGAGGTGACCGCAGCCTGCTGCTCCTTCATGGCCGTGCTCACCTCCCCCTTGATGACTCGCTGCACCTGAGCCAAGATGGACTCTTGCATGCTGGACAAAAAAGGGGGAAAAGAAGAAAAGAGGTCGTAAGGTTCCTACAACGCAGAGGGTGCAGAACACACACGGGACAGAACACGTTTTCTGCCCTCGCTCAACACTTCCTCTTGGGGATGAGCCACAGCGGCTGCAGGCTCCTTCTGCTGACTGTCTGCAATTCGGCAGTTCGAATCTCACCAGGCTCAAGGGTGACTCAGTCCCCAGATTGTTGGGGGCAATGGGTTGACTCTGTAAACTGCTTAGAGAGGGCCGTAAGCAGAGGTGGTATTCAGCAGGTTCTGACCAGTTCTGGAGAACCGGTAGCGGAAATTCTGAGTAGTTTGGAGAACCGGGAAATACCGCCTCTGACTGGCCCCGCCCCCATCTAGTCTCCGCCTCCGGAGTCCCAGCTGATTGGCTGGGTCTTCTTTGGTTGCTCTGCACAGGAGAGCGGAGCTGGAAAGCAGGTTAATGGGGTGGGGAGGGAATGGGGATTTGGCAGTATCCTTCCCCTGCCACGCCTACCAAGCCACACCACACCCAAGCCACACCACACCCAAGCCACGCCATACCCATCAAGCCATGCCCACAGAACCGGTAGTAAAAAAACTTTGAATCCCACCACTGGCTGTAAAGCACTGAAAATTGGTATATAAGTCTAAGTCAGGGGTAGTCCACCTTTTTATACCTACCGCCCACTTTTGTATCTCTGTTAGTAGTGAAGTTTTCTCTAACCGCCCACCGGCTCCACAGTATTGGTGATTTATAAAGTAGGGGACAAAACCCCCACCGCCCACCATGAAAGCTGGAACGCCCACTAGTTGCGCGGTAGGGACCAGGTTGACTACAACTGGTCTAAGTGCTATTGCTATCTAACACCATGTAGCAAAACAAAATAACTGGCTCTAATCCGGCCAAACTCTCTCTTTACATCCCACCTAGTTAAGAGAATGGCTTCATACTATCTATTTTATTGAAGGTTTCCACAACCTGAAGCTCCTTAAATGTATCAGACTGAAAGTCCATTTACAGGGCCTGAATAGCCATAAGGGACAGCTTGAACACTCTACTGAAATTCTAGACCAGGGGTGTCCAACCTTGGCAACTTTAAGACTTGTGGACTTCAACTCCCAGAGTTCCTCAGCCAGC